AAAGCTTGACGCATAAAATTTTTGTGTAGTCCACCCCGTTTTTGTTACATTAAAAGCCGTACCAAGTACTTTTTTTATCATTGAATCTTCTAATCAGTGACATAATAGCCTTCTTCTTTCTGTAGCTACTTCTCTTGTGCATCTGTGCAAAATTCGAGATGCAGAAACGCAGCGACTTGCTCTTCAAACACTGGAGCTATTGGCCATAGAGAATTCTGATGTCATCATTACACATGTAGGTTGCGCATCCTGGTTTTCCAATTTTACGTATTTAATTTGAATACTAGCAAATCGGTTCCTTGAAAGTGAGTTGGAGTAAAGGAGTGTAGGACGAACTTCTTACGCTTTCATAAAAATACTGATTATTGTGATCAGCTTGGAGTAGTTTTATTCCATCCTTTTGTTAGTCTCATAAACAAGTATTAAATTTAACCTTTATCGTGTACAAATAAGGGGGATTCTTGTTGCCTGAAAAAGGAAAACCTCGTATTTTTGGAGAACGAGCTTTGGAAGTTTGGACCCTCGGTAGAAATTTCTACCGAGGGGGTGGTCGTTGGGTAGAGGAAACCGAGGGGAAGGGGAAAGGAGCCCGCCCACTCCTCTCTCCGGCCACTTTTACCCTGGAACAAACATGGAAGCTGGGTGGACGATCGCGAGCTTAAAACGGTAACTCGCTCTCCCCAATAAGACAACTGTACTGTAGGGTAGAGAAAGAATGTCGCCATTAAATTTTTCGTTTCTAATAATTTTAATTCATCCCAGGATTCCTTGCTGGAGTTGCTGCTGTCTCTTCCCAATCTGACAGACGATGAACAGCTGTTCTTGCTGGCAGGAAAGATCATTCTTTATTACGCTGAAAGTGAGCTGGTAAGTAACAGAGATACGACACGTATGTACAAACTTGAGCGAAAGGTAATATTGAAATTCACAGATTCGGACGACGTTTCAGTAAAAATCTAGAAAAATCCACATGCACAAAATGATGAGAGCGCTCTTTCTATCGGTTTACCGGAGAAATATTAATCTTTGGATATTGGGGGACAAGAGGCGAATATTTTCTGTGGGCAAACCGGTGCAATAGACAATAAGTTTACTTATCAAGGATAGCTTTTTTTTAACGTTTCGTTTGAAAATGGACTATTCTTGTATATGTGAGCTGTGTTTCTTATTACTAAGCTTCTTTGCAATAGTAACGAACAAAACGTTCAACGAACTTTTCTTTTGACCCTTTATACCTTATCATCAGTTTGTATATACTCTGTACTTTTCTCTATACATTTCCTAAGGTGCTGACAAGGAGAATTTGTCGAACAATCAAGAGCTTCTTAAGTTGATTGTGATTTCCTTTATTCTCATGACCTTAATGTGCCATTCAGGGGAGATTTTGGAAGGAGAAATTAGATGCTAGTCACTCTAAGCGGTTTAAGTTATTACAAATTCTGAAGAGGTAGCACTTTACAATTATATAACAAACTATTTCCTGTCTATCCCTAATTTCAGGCTTGTCAGAAACTTGTGGAGGCTGAGAACTTGAAGTTCTGTCTAATGGAGTTAGCATACAGCTTGGATCCTCTGCTGCAGAATGTAGTGGCCAAGATTATTCTGGCTATGATAGACTCACACGAGAACAAGTAAGTGTGTGCCTGATAATTTGTGTGATACATTCTTCCATGGTAATCGGACTTTCTTCCAAAAAAAAATTTAGCACGAAAATTTTATTTTCATCCCCCTTGATATTGGGTAATCTTTAAAGTTTTAGTTTGAGAAAGTGTCAAATCTTCAAAGGAAGAACGTAATCCGAGAACTGATGAAGGATGCAGCTCAACTGTAGTATGCATATTCTCCATGCTCATTGTTCTCCACACATTTCCAAAGATGCTGACAAAGAGGATTTGTTTAGCAATCAACAACGTCTTTAGTTGGTGATCATTTTCTTTATTCTCGTGACCTTTATGTGTGATTCAGGGGAGATATTGTGAGAAGAAATTCTCTCTTGGTCACTCATGGGAATTACAGGGTTAATAAATGTTCGATGTCTCATTATTAAACTCAAGGTGAAGCACTTGCTCTGATTTTTTCTCTTTAATAATTTTTTTCTTTTTTTCTTTCACTTAGGGACGAAATTGCCGAGCTTGGCTTGGATGAAGTGTTAATCCACATCAGAAATGAGTCTGCAGACCGAGATGCTTGGCGCATGGCAGATCATGGACTGATGATACTGCACAATGTCAAACAAACTACTGATTCAAACAAGTCCAAATCACTTGCCACAGACCTACCAACTAAGAAAGCTCTTTAAACCATGTGATGGCTACGCTAGAATGTAAGGTTGAAAGTTGAGATGAAGAAGTAGCCTTCAACTTTTACATTCGCTTTTTCACTCTTTTTTTCCATTATGTTCGGTTTTTTCTTTTACAAAATTTCTCTTGCCTACGAAACGGTACAGCTGGAAACGTAGAAAAAGAGAAAGAATAACGAAAGAAAAAACGATAGACGAGAGCATGCTGTGAGCTCTGTTTATTCCAGACTTATACTCACTCAAAGGTAATTGTAAAAAGCAACGTGTAAATAGGCAAACATTGCAATACGTTAAGAGTGAATCAGCTTATTGTTAATCATTGAAGAAAAGCACAGAACTCCATGAGATGAATTTTAAACCGTATCGGTGCAAAACTTCTCGTAGAGGAACACAACGTTTAACCCTTTACACCCTATTGTCAGTATGCATTTTCTCAGTACTGTTCTCCAGAAGTTTCCTAAGGTGCCGACTAGGAGAATTTGTTTAACAATCAAGAGCTCTTCTAGTTGGTGATCATTTCCCTTACTCTCGTGACCTTAATGTGTGATTCAGGGATGATATGGTGAGGAGAAATTAGATGCTAGTCACTCTTTGGGATGAAAGGGTTGAGTATTAGGCTCAGGTCACGCAGAGAAAGTTTAGTGCTGCTGCAGGAACGGCGTCGATTACAGAACGGGTTCGTTGTTTGAAAATTCTTACTTACCCTTCTTGGTTGAAAAACCGCGTAAACAAGTTCCTTAGTTCCTGCATATCCAGTTGCTGGGCTACTTTCCCAACAATATGTATTCAACTCACACGAGTCAATTCACTCCCCATCTTTGTGTCAAAACCTTTTGCCCCCAAAATTTAATCTCTCCATCATAAATTCTTACCGAAGATAACAAATTTGCTATGACTTTTCCAGCGTTGCCATTCCTTTTTGCACATTGGGCTTTTAGTAGATATAGGTAATGGACAAACCAGCCTTACAAGTGTAGTTGACGCAAATTGTTATTTAAGTGTAAAAAAGTATTTATAGCAGGAATAAGTAGGTTTAGTTTTTGACAAAATGGCCCCAAGAAAGCGTCTGGTTTTAACTCCTATTGAAAAGCGATGTACCTGTTGATCGAATTAAATATTTTTGTACCAATTGCATTGTGTTCTTAAATATTTTGATATTTTAATGCATCAAATGTAAGCTATGTTGTATAAAAATTACGTAGCTTATGTTAATTCAGTCGCGATTAGACTCAATGTGGTGGATGATTTTGCCTTAAAAACTCCTAGTGAGTTGATTCCTCAGGAGGTCCTCTCGACTGAAAATGTAGGTTTCTCATTTCTAGGGTAAAATAATGACCATAAGAAGCCTTATGTCCGACCGTCAAAGCATTCTGGATATTCGAATAATTTTGAATTTTCTATCAATTTCATAGGGTTGTAACGGAATGATTAATCCAATTTATTACAAAAAAAAAACGTTTTAAGAGGGTTTTAAGTAAAGGAATATTAATACCTACAGTTACAGTAAAAACGAGGACCACAATCAAATTCATTTTTTTCGTGTAAAATAAAATTCCGAAGTTATTCCAAGCGCATGGAAACATTCAGTACTTCTGCCTGATTTCCGATTTCATTATCAGTAAGGGTTTAAAGAAATTCACTATGCAAGGTACCCATATATCGTCTGGCGGAAATACCACAGGTGCCTCTTTGCTGCTTGATCTATTTGACGATGACAAAATCCGATCCAGGCCTTTTATGAGTGTCCGGATATTTTCGGGGGATATTCAGAAGTTTACGGAATGTCTAAGAAATAATATAATATTTAGAACTGTTGAAGATATCAGTCAGGAATACTTATAGCTTTATTGGCATGCTTGAGTACTGTTTTTAATTCCCCTGCTATTCTTGAGAAACAATCCTCACGTACATGCCAGAATTGTCGTAACGTTCAGGAACTGATCAAACCTGATCATCTTGATAGAAAAAAATGCATCTATGTTGTCTTAAAAGTTGTTTTTGTTGTGCTTGGTTCCCCCTACACCCTAACATCTGTAAGCAAATTCTGAAGAATATGTCTAAAAGTTAAGAGACCTTTATTCTCATGAACTTGATATTTGATAGCCTATAGGTTATAAATTTCGCAAAAATAGAAATAACATGAAAATTATCCACTGGGAACTTGATAGCTCATGCATAAAACCTTTACTTTTACATAGTTGTCAAAGCATTGTGTTTGTCAAAAACGATCATGATGTTAATTTCGTTACTATTCAAATTCCCCACAAATAATGAACAGGAAGAGCTTAGCCGCAAGCGTATTCTGATGTAACAGGACGTACATCTATTATTTTAATAATAAGATACGAATTAAAATACGTCAAAAGATAACCGTTTGATGGATAAAAAGATGAATAAACTATCACCTCGAACTATATCGAAGTTCAATTGATTTCAAGGTCAGATGGTGCGGATATAAATAAAAACATGGGTCCTTTTTATTGCTTAAACACAGTTTTTCTGCCTCGCAAAATACGCCGACGATTAATTTGTCGCGAAATTGAGTTACCTGAAAAGTTTTATTAAGAAGGCATTTAAACAACATTTTTGGGATATATTTTTAGGGAAGACCTATCCCGTCACTGGCCCTCCTCACTTATCGGATGTGATCCCCTCCCCACCCTAAGGATGTCCGAATTCTTCTCATTCCGTTACATTACTTAGTCGTTCCAAACAAGGCAAGCCCACATACAGAGCCACAGTTCACTTTGTCAGGAGTACAATACAACTTAGCGGTTGACTGATCTTGTGTTAGCTGATAACAATGGCCTCCAGGACTCCAGTTCGCTTAGACCCAGTAACAGGCAAAAAGATTCCACCGCCTGTTTCGCCGAAGCCTGTCAGAATGACAGCCACACGGTTAACGAAAGCGAATTCCAGACCGCCACCACCATCGCTTCAGTCTTCAGGTGGAATGAAAAGCACTGAAGAAGAACTTGACGCACTAACTGATCTTCTTGTGAAGAATTTGGAGAATACAGGCGATCCAGACTTTTTCGGTAAGGCACTGCGCTGTGTTGCATTGTTGATGTTTACTTGTTCTGTTTTGCATCGCGTCTTGTGCGAGGGCTTCTTTTGCAGTTCTGTCTAGGCATTGTTTGGGTTTTGGGTAAATCTGTTTATAATACTCAACTCGTCTAGGCTTTTTCCTCGACTGGATTTACATGGTTATGTTTTATTAATCCTGTGCAATGAACAGACGCTGTTTACTTTTCGATTTGAGTGTTGTATCAAAGCACACAGTGGGTCAGAAAATTGGTAACACTGACTTTCCTTTCCTTACAGCGGATCAAACATCGCTTGATTCTTAAAGTTTCAGTTTTAGTCTCACTAATGTAATAGCACTTAACCAGCTTTAGAAATGACGTCGCAAATTTACTGTAAAGCCCGATATACTCTAAATAGATGATCTTTCCTTAGACACGTAATTTGCCAAAAAATGGAAAGAAAATTTTTTTGTGCTGTCCAATCGTATTCTAGCTTAAAAGTAAAAAACATAGCGTAGCTTAAAACTGTATACCAGTTAATGTTCCTTTAAAAAAAATTAAAGCTGTTATGCTGTTACTTTTACAGTATTAGCGTGGAATTAAGAAATTGAATGAATAATTTATTGATCCTTGCTTGCAGAAAACTGAAATTGTTAAAATCTTTCACATTCCTTTCTTGGGTGTCACGGTGTCTAGGAACTTATAGAAATGTCCTGTTAGGAATTGCTCCAGTGTGCTACTCATCTACTGCTGTTGCATCATTCAGCTACCAAATGTTCAACTTCGAAAGTTAACTCAGCTGACAATTTCCATATTTGCAACATAGTTATGTCAGTTTGTCATGTCAATTGTCCTAGTTCACAACATCTGTTAGGATGGCATTACTTCAATATTTAAATTAGGTAGCTAGATATGATATGGGGAACAAATTGGTTTTTTTTTTTTTTAAGTGAACTCTCTATGAACAGGAAATTCACCATTTTCCAAGATTTAGCTGACTTTTGAATTCAAAACTTAACATCTTGAATATCTCTGATCATTTCAAATGGCCAGTGATTAATTACAGAACTGTTGCTAGTGGCTTCTCTTTTTACACAACATGTCACACAATTCCTTGATTTTGCCCAACCATTCAAGACATAGACAAACAAGAATTTCTACTTGCATTGAGTATAATTTTTTTTTGATATTCAAAAGACATTTAGAATACGGTAGATATTCTGTCAAAAGTTTTTCAGGAATACTTATTTGTGCTCTGTTTACATTAGCTTAGAGAGAACATAGTTACAACACCTAAATATAAGATGAAATGTTTTCTAGACCCAGAGCGTCAAGGTAACATTTTCCTTTTAACTCTCAAAAGTGATAAACATGTAACTTTTCCCCACAATAACCACCAGAATTGACAATCAGATCTAGGTTTTTAAGGGTCAAGTGAGGCTTTACCTAGAATATTTAGTGGCAGAAAACACACTTGTCATTTATTTGAATTTGAAAGTGGACCAAAATAATCAAGATATCATGAACAGTAAGGGGACGACTTTTTTATTTTTTATGATTAATATGTGTTTGTTTGTTTATTTTTTTCATAGGAATGTGCAGTAAATGTGGGCAGAAAGTCTCAGGAGAGGGGACGGGTTGTACTGCCATGGAAAAATTATTCCACATCAAGTGTTTCCTTTGTGACAAATGTGGTGAGCAGATTTTCAGTGTTTATTGGTATTCCTGTGGTTCAGTTGATCTTGATGTCCATGTCCATGTCCAGGGTGTATCTGGTATGAGACACTTTGACTGGTTTCCATAACCTAACCTTTCAGGAACAGATAAAATAAGAGCAACCTGAAGATTCTGAAGATGTTAACAAGATAATATAAAGTGGTCCTGCATGCGTGTCAACAGACATACACACAGGTCTTGGGGACATTTCCCGTCCAGATGACCAGTCTCAGCACTCTTCCTAAGCAGAGTACCAAAATCTGTTATGGGCTCAAAGGAGCTTGGGGGAGAGCATGTTTTTCAGGCTCTGATTTGTGTCCTCTTTGAGTATGTTCAGTTGCCCAGTGGCTCCTGTCCTTATCAGCCTTAAAATTTCCAATGTGGAAGATCCTTGCAGGCACAGTTTTAGAAGGATCTCAAGGTTCTCAAAGGTTTTTCTTTGGGAAACTGAGGAGCCCAGCTCTTTTAAGCCTTCAGAAAAGCAATTTTTATTAATTTTCCCAAAGTGAAATGCAAATTGCCCCAGAATCTCATGCTGTGTGCATGGCCCTTGTGTTAGTATTAAGTCTGGCTGGAAATTCATACTATGGTCTATACTATTTTACCTTTGATAGGTTTCTGGTCAAGCAGGATTTTTCTTCAGAGTTTTATTTCCTGTTATTTTCTACTCCACTTAGCTGACTATAGTTCATACCTGTTTTCATAGGATGTCAGCTGACTGGCAAGGTGTTCTACAAAGTGGAAGAGGAAGTGTTTTGTGAGGCAGACTATCTAGTGAGTGTTATTTTGGGAAATATTTTCTAATTAAATATGTTGCTCAAACAGAGACAGGTAAACATATCAAGATGTACAGACAGAATGTTTGAAATTTTGGCTATTTATGGCTTAAAACCTGACTTTCACCAGCTTTGTCGTTGTATTTGCTTAGCTATCTAGCAAAACTCAACTTTTCCTCAAGCTTCCAAACTGAAAACAACATGGAAGGTAAACCTTCTAGAGAGGAATAACACCAATTTTGTAGGAGTGATTTGAGAGATTAATGGTGTACAATAATCTACCATATATTTGCACAATAAATCAAAATTTAAATTTAAAATTTACCTTAAGCTGTTTATTTACAGGATACACTGGAGACCTGTTGGGCTTGTAACAAACGTATCACAGAAAGGGTAAGGAACTCATAACATTTATTATAAAATTTCAATTGAATTGAACTAGCCTTGTTTGAGTGATCAAAAGAACAGATAAAATGCCATCTAATGAAGTTTGATGCTCCAGAAGGTGTTTGACAGCTGATAAAAAAGAGAGAGAGAGAGAGAGAGAGATTGATTCACTGCACAGATTCATGTACTTACAGGGGATTAATGCATTAGGGTGCTGATAGAAGCATTCTAGTCTGGGTAGCATTCAGTAATAGCGGAGCTCGCAGAGCGTAGCCCCATAATTGTACAAAATGGTAGTAGTAACCCATCAAGCTGAAAAAATTTGGACTTATGACCATACGGGCGTCCGTACAAGGTGCTATGCATGGTCAACTGTACGGCAGGCATGTCAATACCATGGCTTTGTCTAGTAGTCCAGTGGTCAGGGCACTGGGCTCCAAGTCGGATAACCTGGGTTCTGGTCCTGGCCAGGGCAAGGTGTTGTGCCCTTGAGATGTGCGGGAAAAAAAAATGCAAGCTCCGCTTTTGGGCTTGGCTAAATCTATATATTATGTACATTCAAATCTGAAGGTACTGGTACATCTTGACTAATTAATCCCATGGTTCCTAAAACTCATTAACATGTAATTTCTCATTATCAGAAAACTTATTAGCTGAAGGGTGCTCTCTTAAAAAAAGGGAGAAATTCTTTCAACTACGAGTGAAATTATTAGTTAAAGCTTGAAAACTGAAGGTTGAATCCCAAAAATTAAATTTTAACTTTAAAAGGGAACAGAGGCCCAAAGAATTGTAATTTTTTCACATTCATTTTTAGTTAGCTTTGGAGGAGCGAGATAAAGTATACAGATTTATTTTCATTCACTTCTTGTATTGTATGAAAAAGTGTGATTTTCAGTCTCTTTTGCAGGGGTATGGGGGCAGGGGAAGGTGGGCAGGATGAGGTGTGAGGGGGGTGGGGTGAGGGGCAGGGTGTAATACCCTCTATTCCACTCTTGGGTCATTTCCTACAGATCTATTCAGTTTTAAGATGTTTACTTTATTTATGGAGTGAAGTGCTGATGCCATTTTATTTACAGTACCAAATTCTGTTATCAGATTCTACGGGCCACTGGGAAATGTTTTCATCCAGACTGTTTTGTGTGTGAAGTTTGTAGTAAAAAACTTGATGGAATACAGTTCACAGTGGACAACTTTAATATAATCCATTGCATTGAGGACTACTATAGGTATTTATGTTATGACAAGTTTTTGATTGTAATAATGATTACTTTTAGAATTCTAATGGTAATGACAGTACTGATAATCATGATCATCATTACATTTATTGTACTTATTCAATAAAAGTTGGAAAAGAAAAACACCAATCTGATTTCAGTTAATTTGATTTTTTTTTAATCAGTAAGTGTTTTTACCTTCCCCAGTTGTAACATACCTAATTAATATAATGCAATAAAATAGAGAAAATCAAAGTTTCCACTGGAAATTTGTTATTTCTTGATGTGTCAATATTTTGACCGCCAATATTTCAGAAACTAAGTGTTTAATTCTTTCTTATAACAGGAAATACTCTCCAAGATGTGCAGCTTGCAATCAGCTTATAGTCCCTGAAGAGGTAAATAATTTTCTATTTAGTAGTACATTTTAGCCAGCTACATAAAAACCCTTGGATATCAAGACTAAATAATATTATTTAAGGATTGTTCTCACTTTTTCTAATGCATTACCTTAAAAATCTGGTAGTTCCTTTTTGCATGTCAATAATTAATGTGCGTAAAACAAATGAAAATCTTATTATCACATTTTACATTTCCCCCTCCAAAAAATTATTCTAGCGTAAAATATGTTTCTCACATCTTTGGTCAAAATGATATACCGTTAACCATTGTCATTATTACATGTCACTTGAAAAGTGTGTAATTTTGTGACCTCACTGCATGTTTGCTGTTTCATACTGCAACATAATATCCAACTGCACTGAGTAATAACAAGTACAAATTACATGCAATATGAATACAAATATCATGCAATATTAAGGCAGTTGGTTATTTTTCTCTGAAAAAAGACTTGTTGGCTGTGCATGCTCTGCTTCTGTATCTTCTTTACTTTCCCACCTTCTCAAAAAGTGCCTAAAGTTTTTGTTTGTATTTTGACCCACCTTACAGGCCCATCAAAATACCACACAACTTGCAAAACTAGTCATCAATATTACACGCTAGAATATGTAATAAAACATATATTTTCCTGTATTCTATTTTACACTCAAATTAATGTTGTTCAATGTTCTTTCAGGGTCAAGAAGAAACTGTTCGTATTGTCTCAATGAATAAGGATTTTCATGTCAAGTGCTATGTTTGTGAGGTTAGATATACAAAACCTTTTTAATTATTGAATTGGAGACCTTAAGTAAGTCTGTTTTTAAAGACTCACAAGAATTTTGTGACTTTTAACTCTTCAAATATCACAAGTGATACTTAAAGGTTCTTTCACAAATTGAATAGTTTACATAATCTTGCAAAGAGAATAATTTTTGCAAACTTGTCAGCTGGAGGTTCATACCAAATTATCCTGACAAACTAGTAGGGAAATGTTAAGCAGCCAGAAGGGGGAATTACCATATAGATTATGGGAGTTAAATGGTTCAAGAAGCCCCATCACAGTATCTTTAGTTCCTATAATTTAACCCTTTAACTCCCATGAGTGACCAAGACAGAATTTCTCCTTACAATATCAATACAATATCAATCAGATAAGTGATGAGAATAAAAAAATATCAATTTGGGGTTAATAAGTTGATCCAATACTAAATTCTCTGAACTGACATTATAAAAGATTACATTACAAAGGAATTACAAATTTGATCAGGGAGTTAAAGGGTTAAGGTCATCAAAAATTGTTATTAATCAGATGAAAACCTTTAACCCCTTGACCCCTGAGACTGATTAGCCTCTAATTTCTCCTTAGCATAAAAATGAAGGCTTTATTCTTCAGAGTGCAGAAACTGTTTTGCACTGTCTTAAAAATTATTGTGTATTATTATACCTCACAGTTAGTATACATGTACGCTATTAAGCTTGCTGTATTTGACTGTACGGCCAACTGAAGTCAAAAGTTTGTGAATGGAAATCTTTTTCCTCTATTTGAACCCAAAGATATAATGAACATCCTGCTAACCTCGTATTCTCTGTTTGTACTGTAAGTTACAGAAACTCATTTCTTTCTGCTCTGATTTAATAGCTTTCACACTTCATGCATAGGCCATAAATTTGACCAGAAAATATTTGGTCTATAACTTATAGTGTGGACCGCTAACTTGGCTAATAAGAGGTATTTAGACACCTGCCATCATAAACACATTTATAGTTACTTTCCCACATTAGTTACCATCTAGTTTTTGGTTGTTTTAGGACTGCAGTGCCCCTTTATCAGCAGAGAAGGGTGGCTCTGGCTGTTATCCTTTGGACAATCACCTTCTATGTCAAGACTGCAACGCAATCCGTGTTCAGAAGATGACAGCTGAACTAGATTATAGGCCAGCACGGCCTTTGACAACTGAACTATGAGACCTGTGTGGTTACTAACAAGTAGAAGCTGACTTTGTGAATGAGGACAATGTATTATCAATGGTTATGTTATTATAATTAACTACTTCATTGTTAACTGGGAATGGTTGTCAGAAATTCATTGTGTCTGCAGTGTCAAGGAACACAGTCTCTGACTTTGAAATTCAGCACCAGCTTGATTGTCATGGAAGAAGTTTCCTTAACTTGTTTGGACTGTTTTTAGAAATTAGTATAAGTGATTTGTCTTCTAAAAGGTTGTATAGAAAAGTCTTGTCTCAGGGTAAGAATAAAGCATTAGTCAGTTGTAAAGGGACTGAACTTTCCTTCTTCTGATGAAACTTCTTCACCATGTGAGCTGATAAAGTGATTACCCGTCCCGCTGGTTGGGGCTGAACATTGGTGCAAATGTTTCTGAAGAAGAAAAAGAGCCTCCTGTTCCTTTACTAAAGCAATAAAGCACTGAGATTTTCATAGGTTTATTATGGTTAAAGCAAGTTTGCAGCAGTACACAAAATTCCTGTTTGGTTGCTACCTGAACAGAATATCTGTTAGATGCTTTCAATTGTACAATAATTTTAAAGTTTTCGCAGATTATAACTATCACCAGCTGGGAGTTTATGGCTTGACATAGAATGGCAGAGTATAAAAATAGCAATGAATAAATCAATCATTGTTCAGAAATTATGGAAGTTTGTAATGCCATGGTTGACTGTTGTTCAGAGAAAAAGGTTTTGATAGAATATGAAACAATTTTTTTTGGTGATTTAGTTTGTTTGTTGGTTTTCTTTTTGTGGTATATTATAACAAAGGGTATATTTATTTAACCCTTTAACTCCCATGTGTGACCAAGGTCGAGGCAGACCATTGCATAACATTATCACAAAAATATCAAGCTGACAAGAGATGAGAATAAAAGAAAGTATCAATTAGGGGATAACTGGTTGATCCAATTCAAAATTCTCTGCTCTAACACCATAAGAATTGTATGGCAGATGGCAAGGAGAATTACTTGAGAGAACTTGGGTGTGAGAGGGTTGGAAAGATAAGTTCACTTTTGAATTTGTGTGTAGTTTCAAATAGAATGTTTTAAGTAAATTTTCAAGATAACACGCACTTTGACAAATGAATAAAAAAAATCTTGATTTATTTAGTGTACTAAAGTTCCTACTATGAACAGGAATTGCAATGGTCACCTGCACCTTTTTTGAGCAGAAAGCTGATGTGGAGAAATATATGAGCTTAGGGATATTGATTGGCATTTAAAGCCAAATTCTTACTACTAAAATTTTAAGACATTTATGGCAGGTACTGGAAAGAATTGATGTGTAGATCTTAGGCATAAGAAGTCTAACAGTTGATCTTAGAACAAGTTTGGCTCTTTCAGAAAAAGGAAAATTAAAGGATGAACCTTCTTATAAGACCATCATTTCTGCAAATTGAAATAACTTGCTTAAGTTCAAGAAAATTATTAGTTGGTAGTGAGACACCAGAGAACCTCATTCCCTTTGACTGTGCTGTCAACAAAATGTCTGAATGGTCATTCTGCTTGAATAACTTTCAACTTCAGAGAGGCTTCCTTGGTTTCAACCAACCTCAGGTTGTCAGTCAACCAGATCAACCATATTCTGCCACCAGGGATTGTGTAAATTGTAGCTTCCCATAAGAGTGGCTCTACAATTGCACTGAGAAAGGTGTGCACTCCACAAATGTTTACTTCTTTTCCAAGTCCTGATTCAAGCTTTCCCATGCTAAGGAAAGGTACAGCTGTGTCTCTGCTTGCCTCATTTTCACTGATAATGTACATCAACATCACTCCACATCAACTTCAATAGAAACAATGTGTTTTCCTGGCACCATGGCTAAACCAAGAATCCGTGGCTCTTCTTTCTCATCTGCATGAACATTAAAAAAAGAAAGGACAAGTAAAATATATTAAAGTTCACACGGCAACCAGGTGGACAATCAGACATAGTTTGAAGCTACACTGGTTTGCAGATTTAATGAATGTAACCGAAGAAGTTACAATTCATAGACCCAACGTTTCGACACTCCTGTCTAGTGCCTTCATCAGGGGTGATCTAAACGCTGCAACAAGAGGTCCTTTTATATGATCACTAATTAGCGGCCTTTTTTCTGACGAGGTGTAAATAGGCGTCAGGAAGCAGACCGCCATCGTCACGATTTAAAGGAGCGTGGGCGGAGTTAATGTGCCAAGCCTCCAAACAAAGGCGCTGGTGGTAACGCCGATTAGTGATAATTTTAGAATTATCCCACCCAATTGTATGGTTGGTTAGGCAAGTATGCTCCGATAAAGCTGAATTTTCCTTTTTGCAAAGAAAAACCGCTTTTTGGTGCTCTTTTAATCGTGTACCAAACTGGCGTTTGGTCTGTCCGATGTATTCGTTATCACAGTCATTGCAAGGAATAGAATAAATGGCGTCAGTTCGTTGTTCTTTCGTGACAGGATCCTTAGGTTTGGCGAAAATATGCCCCAAAGTCTGAAAAGGTTTTTGAGCAACTTTAACGTTGTGGCTATTCAAAATTCTCTTGATGGGTTCAGTAACACCCTGTATGTAAGGAATAACAGCAAAACCAGTCGCTGGTTCCCTTTCATCAAGAGCGTTACTATTTGTAGCTGGTTTTTGGCAGTTACGGAGAAAAGTTTTTGTATAGCCATTTGCCTTTAGGACATTGGAAACATATTTCCTCTCCTCAGCCTTCGAATCGAGTGATGATGGTAGACAATCAGCCCTCCTAAGTAAAGTTTTGGCTACAGACTTTTTATGGCAAATAGGATGGTGAGAATCGAAAGCGAGGTATTTGTCGGTGTGGGTGGGTTTACGATAGACACTTGTCTCTAAATTACCCTGAACCCCTCTAGACACATTTAAATCAAGAAAGGGCAAATGTCTATCCTTTTCACGTTCAAGGGTGAATTGGATCGACGGCTCTACTGAATTCAAATGCGACAAGAGGCGCTCCGCTTCATTTCCGGATACCGCAGAAATAACATCATCGACATATCGTTTCCAGAAAAAGGGTTTAACCGGTGAAGTGGCTAAGGCCCTTTGTTCCACGTCTTCCATTACCATGTTAGCAATGACAGCAGAAACAGGCGAACCCATAGCTGTACCAAAAACTTGTTGATAGTATGTGCCGTTATATGTAAATTGCGTGGTTTTGAGGCAAAAAGACAGCAGATGAATAATATCCTCCACAGGCAAAGAAGTTCTTTGTCCTAGGGAAGCATCTTCTCTGAGTCTTTCCTCCGCAACCTTAACGGCAAGATCAACTGGGATTTTAGTGAAGAGCGAAACAACGTCGAAAGATACTAATTCTTCACAAGCGTCAAGAGTTTTATCTCTTATGAAATCCGTAAATTCGAAGGAATTTTTGACAGTGTAATCAGTATTCCCAACAACAGGCGACAAAATTCTCGCAAGATAACCAGAAATTGCATAAGTCGGAGAATTAACAAAAGAGACAATGGGTCTCAAAGGAATTCCCGGTTTATGAATTTTAGGTAAGCCATAAAAACGTGGACATAAGCCGTCACTACTGTATAACATTTTGTACGTAGAGTCACTAATTCTGCCAGCTTTTTTCAAATCAAGCAACATTTTGTTTAACTTTCTTTGAGTTTTACTGGTTGGATCAGAGTTTAAGACAGCATACGTACTCTTGTCATTGAGCAGAGACAAAGCTTTGTCGTGATATTGCTGTTTGTCCATAACCACAACACAATTACCCTTGTCAGCAGATAATACGAGCCTGTCCGGATCCTTTTTGAGAGTTATAAGCGCATTGAAAACATCCTTTTGAATGTTTTCTTTTCTTTTCTTTTCTTTTCTCGCAAGGGTAATTGTGTTGTGGTTATGGACAAACAGCAATATCACGACAAAGCTTTGTCTCTGCTCAATGACAAGAGTACGTATGCTGTCTTAAACTCTGATCCAACCAGTAAAACTCAAAGAAAGTTAAACAAAATGTTGCTTGATTTGAAAAAAGCTGGCAGAATTAGTGACTCTACGTACAAAATGTTATACAGTAGTGACGGCTTATGTCCACGTTTTTATGGCTTACCTAAAATTCATAAACCGGGAATTCCTTTGAGACCCATTGTCTCTTTTGTTAATTCTCCGACTTATGCAATTTCTGGTTATCTTGCGAGAATTTTGTCGCCTGTTGTTGGGAATACTGATTACACTGTCAAAAATTCCTGCGAATTTACGGATTTCATAAGAGATAAAACTCTTGACGCTTGTGAAGAATTAGTATCTTTCGACGTTGTTTCGCTCTTCACTAAAATCCCAGTTGATCTTGCCGTTAAGGTTGCGGAGGAAAGACTCAGAGAAGATGCTTCCCTAGGACAAAGAACTTCTTTGCCTGTGGAGGATATTATTCATCTGCTGTCTTTTTGCCTCAAAACCACGCAATTTACATATAACGGCACATACTATCAACAAGTTTTTGGTACAGCTATGGGTTCGCCTGTTTCTGCTGTCATTGCTAACATGGTAATGGAAGACGTGGAACAAAGGGCCTTAGCCACTTCACCGGTTAAACCCTTTTTCTGGAAACGATATGTCGATGATGTTATTTCTGCGGTATCCGGAAATGAAGCGGAGCGCCTCTTGTCGCATTTGAATTCAGTAGAGCCGTCGATCCAATTCACCCTTGAACGTGAAAAGGATAGACATTTGCCCTTTCTTGATTTAAATGTGTCTAGAGGGGTTCAGGGTAATTTAGAGACAAGTGTCTATCGTAAACCCACCCACACCGACAAATACCTCGCTTTCGATTCTCACCATCCTATTTGCCATAAAAAGTCTGTAGCCAAAACTTTACTTAGGAGGGCTGATTGTCTACCATCATCACTCGATTCGAAGGCTGAGGAGAGGAAATATGTTTCCAATGTCCTAAAGGCAAATGGCTATACAAAAACTTTTCTCCGTAACTGCCAAAAACCAGTTACAAATAGTAACGCTCTTGATGAAAGGGAACCAGCGACTGGTTTTGCTGTTATTCCTTACATACAGGGTGTTACTGAACCCATCAAGAGAATTTTGAATAGCCACAACGTTAAAGTTGCTCAAAAACCTTTTCAGACTTTGGGGCATATTTTCGCCAAACCTAAGGATCCTGTCACGAAAGAACAACGAACCGACGCCATTTATTCTATTCCTTGCAATGACTGTGATAACGAATACATCGGACAGACCAAACGCCAGTTTGGTACACGGTTAAAAGAGCACCAAAAAGCGGTTTTCTTTGCAAAAAGGAAAATTCAGCTTTATCGGAGCATACTTGCCTAACCAACCATACAATTGGGTGGGATAATTCTAAAATTATCACTACTAATCGGCGTTACCACCAGCGCCTTTGTTTGGAGGCTTGGCACATTAACTCCGCCCACGCTCCTTTAAATCGTGACGATGGCGGTCTGCTTCCTGACGCCTATTTACACCTCGTCAGAAAAAAGGCCGCTAATTAGTGATCATATAAAAGGACCTCTTGTTGCAGCGTTTAGATCACCCCTGATGAAGGCACTAGACAGGAGTGTCGAAACGTTGGGTCTATGAATTGTAACTTCTTCGGTTACATTCATTAAATCTGCAAACCAGTGTAGCTTCAAACTATGTCTAAAGGACAAGTAGTTAACCCTTTAACTCCCAAAGATGTGATTTTCAATTCTCTCCTTTAGCTGCTACACATTTCCTTATAAACTGGTGATGAGAATTTGGTGTTAGATCAAGATGACAACTTCTACCTGATAAGTTTGACTACTCTCTTAACCTGTTTGCTGGATAATGAATGAATATTTAAGGGAGAAGTTACATGTCAATCGTGTCCGGGAGTTAAGGTGAGGATGGGAGAAAGACAGAGTAGCTCTACATCATCAACTCAGTTGATAAAACCAAATTATCACATGGTAGCTTTGGGTTTGTTCTATCAAGACAGTTGGTATAGTGTTGCAGGAATCAAGTGTAAAATGAATGGAATGACTTTCTAAATAGACAAATGTCTAACTTAACTTAACTCACTCTCCAGCTTATGTCATCCCACACAAATGCCATGTTCACATAAGGGGAGACAATTTACATTAACACTACCCCTCTCCACCCAGGAATACAAATGACTGCAGGGAAAAGCTTAACAAAACACTGGAGGGGAGGGAGGGGTACCTGTGGGTGACTCACATCCCACTTGGGAATTGTGGTATGCCACCAATCATAGGTAGCCAGAATCAGAGATAAGCACCATGAATGGATGAATGGTGAACCACTTTACCAATAAATTAATGAAAAGTTTCAGTACCTGAAGAACCAACAAACTCCTGACATGATCCTAAAATTATATTCCTATCTTGATCAGTGCATAGGAAGGAACCAATTAATGTTCTTCCATCAGAGATCTTTATTCTCATGATCTTGTTAAGCCATGACTCTAGGAGTTTCCTTTTTTCACTTTTTTCTGGGTTGTCACCATTAAATTCTGTCTCCTAATTAAAGAGAAATGGCACAGTACTATAGTGAGATTGTCATACAGCAAAGCTTACTTCAAAAATATTTTTGGCATACTAAGTAAAGATAGCCTATCTACAATGTTAATCCTACACCCCTGTAGGAGGAACAGGGATGGCCCTACAGTGGTAATAACCCTTGTCTCCCTCTGATGTGGCCTGGGTTCAACTCCTGCACATGGGGCCTGATTATCAAAACGCCTGGTTTCTTTACCAGCCTGAAGTAACATTTTGAAATTTAATTCTAGGGCATGAGAGCATACGTCCTAGTTCGAAAACCATTTCAGTCTGTTTTGTTTCCTGATATTTCAGAGCTTGCGTTTCAAAACTTTCAAATTACAATCTTGAAATACCATAAATTTAATGCTCGAAACCAACAATTTAAACAAAGCCTGATGTATAGCAGGGTGAACTTTGATGGGTTTTAAGTTTTTGTTTTTTTTGTAACCATTCACTTGTCAGTAGGGGCAATGAGCTAAATTGCCACCAAATCACAAATTAGAGATACGTAAAATTCAAAATACTCAAAAGAAGTATTTCGCATTGATTAAAAAGAAAAAATACCATTGATATTAAAGTAGAGCAAAGATTGTTATCGAGTTTGTCCATTCTACGACTAAGAACCAGTGTCTGGGAAACATACCACATTAGACGATGGGCTTGATTCCTTTTTTTCCTCAAGAAGCTGCATATTGTGCAAAATAAGATAAAATATTACTTAAATGCAAAAAGACCCTTGCTGGAAATATTCTCGCAAAATGAATATAGATGTTACCACATCTGTCGCCTCTTCCACTCCGTCCGCCATGTTTTCCTTTACGTCTGGTAAGGACTAAGTAGGAGACTTCCCGTATGTTCAAGGGCGGTTGCCAGGATGTTTCAATTGACCAATCATCTTTTTATGACGTAAATCCTATTGCGTTGAAGCTTTTTTCAAGGAGTCCATCTTGGATAGTTTCGTGATAAAGGGTTTGAAGGAAAATCCGTTTCATCGTTGTCTTCGAAAGGTTTTTCTCTTGGATAATACCATCAATTTTTTCTTAGTAATCCTAAGTTTTCCTTGTTTGTCTCTTATTTAAAATTTAATGCCACTGAACCTGTCAAACATGGTTCTAAAGTTAAGAATCGCCGTCGTTTGCTCCAGTAACCAAAACCGCAGTATGGAAGCTCATAATTTCTTAAGGTAAAGCGTTTCACGTCCAGAAAAGTTTCTAAAGAGACACTTTTATGTAGTTGTTTGTTAGGCCAACGATTGGCCATGGTCGGTTTGCTTTTTGAGGGAAGAATTGCGTTAGGAATGTGTTTTTTCGTTTCTTTTGTTTCAGCAAGCGCGGTTTCAATGTGAAGTCATTTGGTTCAGGAGTTCAAGTGAAGTTGCCCGGCCCAGCTCCGGATCGACCAAACATTTATTCATTTGATACAACCTACGATGAAATGTACCGAGATTTACTGAAAAAAGACCCTCAACTGTATCCAGTCGATTTTCGAAGTTTTAGCGTTGTTGCTATTCAAGAGTAGCAAACAAAGGCGGTAATCTGGTAATGGAAATTTGCTCAGATTCTACTTGCATTCCATCACGTAATGTCGCTAATTGAGCCCCTTTTTGGTTGTATCATTCCCTATTTTTAGTATCCAGGAAATGGAACGTAATGGGAAATTTTCTACTGACTAATAGAAAAGATAGTTTTGGTTAGATCTTGCCTTTTAGGTTAACAGGCGGTTAAAGCATGTGCGAACGTAAGTAAATTGGGTTGGCAAATATCAAATGACGTAGAAGCGTTGTTTGCCATCGGGAAATTCAATATCATTTCTTTGCAGCTCATGAGAAGTGGACCAGAATGTCTCGGCACTCAAAATGGAAAGCCTGTGTGACTAATGCGAGTTGATTTACCATACTTTGTGAAAATAGTTAAATTTTAATGTTAGTGAGGGACACAGTGCTTTGTGTAATTGAGGCAGACATCAACAAAGGTTGACAGGGATGAAAGAAGAAATGGACCAGATTGTGGCAAAGGTAATATCCTGTTTCCTGAGACACATTTTTGTGTGAAATTTTGCTTTATCAAAGCATTTGGGTGAATAAATGTATCAGTATGAATCACTGTGTTACTACTGAAATAACCTATCAAATCATCACCCCACTACTCCCTTCATCCTTTCATACCAATCTTTTCTTTTCTGGGCTTCGAAAGCAAGCGCAAATCCATTAACTATTAGAACTGTAAGCTTGATGAGCTGACTTAGACATCCCCTTTGTTGATGTGAGAAAGTTGCCCTTGTATTACATTTTAAAAACAACCTTGTGGTCCTAACCAAGACCATTCTTGAAGGGAAAATTGATCACCTGAAAAGATATAGAACTTCCAGGACAAAGAGTGATCAGATTTCAGAAAATTAAAGTGTTGTAGGAAATGGAACCTTCAGATGGTAATTCTGGCAATTGCACAAGCGAATCTTGAACAAGATTAATCTGCATCAGTTTGATTCCTCTATCAGCCTCTTACCACTGAATGGCACCATGAATATATCTCCACTTCAGTTATTTTCTCAGAAAAAAGATAAGTTTCCTTGGATACATTTGGACATATCTACCAAGGGCTCCAAAAGCTTCCAGACTTTTCCACCTAAATTAGTTTTTCGTGTGAAAGAGTTACTACTGTGAACATGCACCACACCCGAGACCTAATTTGGCTTGTGACTAAAATGGGACCATAATTCAAATGGGAGTATCTTCAAGGTGGACCCTGACATTCTAATCTTGAGAGAGAGGTCATTGAGAGAACTAGAGAAAGTGACCACAAAGATGTCAAACCACCCTTCTAACAGTTCTAATCAACAAGCAAGATAAAACATTTGAGCATATTTCTGATCCTGATGAGATGGAAGAAGGGAGAGTGATTTGAAATTGGCAATTACATAACACTAACTTACAGTGAGTGAGTGGAGTGCTGTAAATGCAGAAGATTCTATGCAGACAGCAAATAGGAAATGATACCCCACACCTTTTGGCTGTGTCATACCAAAGGACATTATTTAGCACTGACCTTGGAAAAGCAAAGTTCTACTGGCAGATGCTTAAAAAGTCTGGATAAATACCCTTTGCTTTTGGTGATTGATCTTTGCAGGAGAAGCCTTTCCTTAGAAATTACTATAGTATGCAAATGTCATTCAGATCTCTACCTTAAGAAGTGAACAGTTTTTGTTAGCTATCTTTATATGTCCTCATCAAAGTGATCAATAGACCATCTTGAGTCTGAGGCATGCATGCACTTAAATTGAGTATAGATGCAGATTTTCTTGGGTGATTATTTAGAACAGTTGAGTACGACAGCAATCAGTTTGAGTCCTTGTGGTTTTATAGATTATATGAGGAGGCTTTATATGAACAAGGGCCTGTTTTGAAGCAAAGGAACCTCACTACGATAGCAATGTTGGCAGTGATGATACTGCTTTAGGCTGATATCTGTACCATTTGGCTTGTTATAAGCTGGTGATGCAGTGTGTGGTTGTGCCTTGGCATATTTTACTAGGGTAGATGAACCTACTTGAGATGCACCTGCTTTAAAAAGGTAGCATCAAAACAATGTTACATTTTAAACGCCATATGTCAAATTGGTTATCATTCTTTCAGTGTCATTCAGAAGTTAAAGAATGTCTTTTGATGTATGTATGTAACCATTTCCAGCAAAATTTAGTATTCAAATTTTGATGTTACATCCTAGCGTTGTTCATGAGAAGACGAGTGACCATTAGGTTATCTACAGTTTAGTGGTCAAATTCATGTCTGCTAGCTGTGTTGTCTCTGTGAGCTAAGAGTCTGACTTGCAATCAGTGTGATGAGAATTAAAAATCCTCATATTATCAAAATTCCCTAGTTGAAGATTTCCAAGGTAATGGAATTGCTTAAATGAATAGTGTATAGTGACTGAATTCTATACTTATACCTGAATCATGCCAGCTGATATTTGGGCCTTTCTACAAGGAGATGTTAGGTCGTATTTTACCTACATGGCAAGGCAAAGAAAGAAGTGAATAACTCTCAGTGAGAACTAGATTACTAATGGAAGAATAACCTCATTCAAAGCCTTGTATTACTAAGCAATCACAAATGATGAATTGTCAATTTTTCTGGTTATTCGGCACATTCATAGCCATTCAGCTACTCCCTCGTTGGTTTCCTAGATTGAGAGGTTGACCTGAGTTAAGAAGATGTCTATTTTAGAAGACAACTATGCATTGCAACAATTACTCTTTGAAAGTTTCTAGCAATTCAACCTGAGTTTAGACTTAATCCATATCAGTGTGGAAAGACCTTTCCAGTTATTGGGCCTAAACGGGTCACAAGTTATGTAAAGCCTCCTGTGGCAAGATTCTGTTTTTGACTTTTCTCTCTGAAATCGTGTTCTTTCTTGATGGATTCTATCTTGGGGTACAATTTGAAATGTATCCAAATTATTCCTGAAAGATTATGTTGAAGAAAGGTCTGATAGTTTGCCTTAATTGGTCAGGTTTTGGTGTTATATGTGATCATGGTTGCCACCTGGTAGTATAAGATGGTTATAGTAGTGAAATACTAGGTCATGAAGGTGCCCACCCTTGATGCATTGAACAATGTTACTAGTATACTATTATTATAGTTCAAACAGTAAATGCCCTATATCCTTTGGTGCAATGAACTTAGTGGCATTCTGCAGTATAGTCTAAAAAGAAGGTTTCTTGAACTAAAGGGAAATGATAAGTTTGCCTTTGGGAAGTGATTTTACTTGAAATTTGTAATATTTACACATGCAAATTTAGTGCTATACAGATGTTAATGATGCAATCAAATTTCTCCCTCTGAAATAGAGCACAGTAGAATTAAATTAGCTTTTAATTTTTTGTTGTGATCTAGATTGTTGAAGTCATTGGTCTATCTAACAGTTAGAGAGCTTTTCAACAAGTATCAAAAAAACAACAACAATAAAGGAGATTTGCAAGGGGCCAATGAGAACCCAAAGAAAACACGAGTTGTAGGAGTAAGAGGTGTGGGAAACATGGGACTAAGTTGCAGGTGTTTGCCAGACTAATCAAACAGTGAAGTCTAAAAGCTACCCCACATGACATTTCACATGAATGAAAGTCTCCAATCATTAAGAATATTTTAAATATAGGCTGACTTGTTGAAAATGTTTTCCAAACTAATGAATTTGGGATTTTTGTGGCTAGTAAGAGATATGCACTTTTACATGTTGTCTTGGCGCTTAATATTATTGCAGTCAATGCTGTGAAGCATAATTTGACAACAGCCATTACCAAAATATAATTTTTGATCAAATGGCGTTCTGTTATTGCAACCTATCATCACTTTCCACTTCTTGGGGTGTTGAATAGTGGTGATTCAAATAAACAAGTCAGTCCAAAGAGTTCTAATGGTGACAAATTATTGGAAAGTCACTCAATTTGAGCTGAAACTAATTTGATAGCCATTAATTGTCATGTAGCTTATCTTTGCTCTGAAGTAGGGTGGGTGTGTTTCTTACTGTACTGTAGAGAAAATGCAGTTGAGATGTTGATTCTCATGAGTAACATTTCTAGGTGGATTGTGGATTGTAATTTTGAAGTTTCTTAGGGGTGTTAAACTGAGAGTGTGCCTCAGCAGAGTTGTGGTGTGATTGCCTGCATGAGCTTGAAATGTCAGTATGGAAGGAATTTGGCAAGTTGAAATTTAGAAACAAGCACAATAGACTGGAAGACGATATGGACTACAGAACTGGGCTGAATAAGGTGGATAGAGAGGATGCCAAGTTTTAGTGAAGTAATTTCTAGGAAATTATTTTGTAATTGGTATTGCAGTTAGGATACATCTTCCCTGATCTTTTCAAAGGTTTTGGGTGAAGAAGATCTGTCCTGATTAAGTAACAAGTCAAGAATGCGCTGGTTGAAATTCACTGTGTGGAGGGTCTAAGATGTGACGTTCCTAGCCTCTCAGTCAATGGCAAAAAGCATTTCTTGTGAGGAAGTGGTCAGGGGTTGATGAACAAGATTACTCAGAGTAGAGCCCTACAGCTTGCAAGAATGAACTGACACCAAACATCCAAGCTTTCTCCATTTTGGCTTTGGAAAATTACAAGTGACCCCTTAAAAAAAACAACAACAACAGCATTTTCATGATTGTCAGATTAACTGAACTGAAGCTGGCCTTTTCCCAAATGTGCAGTGTTTCCAGCGTGTCATTCAGTGTAGAGCCTAATTCTCAACCAAATTCCCTCTTGGCTTTTCTCCTGCAAAGGGAGGGGCCAAGTACTACCCATGTTGTGTTGGAATGTTCAATTGATTTAGTTGCTAGCCAAACAATCTTATAGTGTACTTCAAGCATTGCTGAGAAATGCTTACTTTATACTGTGAAATAGGTCCATGTTGTCTTTGCCCAGAAAACCAAGCAAAACAAAGGAATTGCAACTTAAAGCAGCTTTACTTTCTTATAATTGTTATTTCAAGTGACTCATCAAGAGTTAGGGTTTTCAAAAATTTAGAGATGTTAATCTGAAGACTAAATTATGTTTAAGGTACAATTTTCCATCTGTTTGGCTCATTTGCTCATCCCTCTTACCCTAAAATCAAGGTTGTAGCCCAGTTTAGTAGAGGGAACAGGATGACTCTGGTGATGAGGTCAACCTGAGACCCCATGGTTGGGATGGATCTAGGAGAGGGGTGTGGTGGGTACGCAACCCCCCTACCCCAATCATTCCTCAGTGGTGCACCCAGTCCTAAGAAAAATCAAGGATCTGCCCTTGCTTGGTGAAATATTTATGTGAGCCAAAATGTTGTTACTGTCTACTGAAGGTTGTGTGATCTTCACAATGAAGTCAAGCCTGACATAGGCACTGTCACTCAGATGAGTGGCATCAGATATGTTCCTTTGAAATAATGAAGTAGGTGGGCTGAATGAATTTGAAATTGGCACAAATGGTCTGGTAATAATGGTTCTGTTGTAACTTTAATATATATGCCAAACTTCACAAATGAAATGAACTGTTGCACAGATAATTCAGAATGTACTTTGAACTCTTGAATTCTGCTCTCTAGCTGATGTATATTTCCTACCTAATTAACTAAGAGAGTGTAGTGTTGTAACAAGCTAGCGCCCTCCAGTTCATACATTTTGTTTGCATTCACCACTTCTTTGTTTTAAAGTGCATTGGTTTTAGAGGAGAAGTTGTATATTGATTCATTATGGGAGTAAAAATATTATTTTGACGTGGAGTTGAAATGTGCATTATAGAACCAAGATCACTGTTGGAATCAGTTCATCCAGCTAGATTCAGCAAAGTCAACCTCGATCTGTTGTGGCTAGTGTAAATCAAGTGGTCTGAATAGGCTGTAAGAAATTAGTGAATCGCAAACTGAGGTTAACTAACCAACTTTGACTACCCATCATGGAGAATTCCTGGGACTGGTGGGTAGCGATTGCAGGAATTAACTACAGGGTCTTGTTTAGTTACCATGGGGACCAACCTTGACATACATCACAAAACTTTTTAGCAGTCATACTCTGCTTTTATAATTTTATATCATGTACCACATGGGTATTGTTGTTTTCAGCTGAAAATTCCATTTTTTCATGGGTAAATTATTGACTGTGTAACATTTATAGTAATTTACAAAATTGGAAAAAATTCCTTGATTCAGCTTATTAGCTACAAGCAAAATGGAATTCTTCACATGCTGGATAGAAACAGGAGAATAAAAGCACATCCTGAGAGATTCCAAGAAACTGAAGAAGAATTTGACCTGGTGGTTACAGTGGAAGAAAGGGTGTATGATCAAGTTATCGAGTGTGAGTATCCTTTCACCTGCTAGATAGATTAAGGGATTAGTTGTGAGGTGATGTATTTATGCTGTTATCTACATGTGTATGAGCTGTGGTGTGGAAATTATACAAAGTGACATGTACTGTCTTAGAACTGCATGCTCAGAGGGAAAATTTGAACTAAGTATTTTATTAAAATGTTAAATTTTCCTCGTCTTTTTTTTTTTTTTTATTTATTTTTATTTTTAAGCAGTGTGTCTTTGACATTACATAAATGTCTTTTTCATGTAGAGTGGTTGAATCATATGTTATGATTAATTAATTGAGTAATAAGTGAGTGAATGAATGAATGAATTAATTTATGGTAATAAAAGGAATGGATGAAGGGATGAACTATCCGACTACATTGATTGAGCTGGCTGCTTTTATGATAAGCATTTTTGTGACAAGTTGGAGGGTTACCCTAATGCAAGTGAAAATATTTGTCCATACAAGCCTAAACTTTTACACTTGGCTAATGCTAAAATCACAGATCTTGCATTGCTGATATGTTTTATGTGAACAGTTACAACAGTTCAAGCTCTGACTCTAATGCAGTATTTTGACAATGATTATTCTTTCAGATCTTGAATCACGTGGCGCTCAAAGCTACTCGCCAGTCCATGTCATAAACCTTGATATTCAGGATAACCATGAAGAAGCTACATTAGGAGCATTCCTTATATGTGAAATGTGTCAAGCTGTAAGTATTAAAAGTGTTGAAACTGTGGAACTGTACAGTGTAGATGAAGGAGGTGAAACATGAAAAGTAAAGCAATATCCAGATATTAAAAGGGTTAGGTGCCACAACTTCTCCCTAACAATATCTGCCCCCGTGCAAACTGTTTTTGTTGAAAAAAGTTGTATTGCATTTAATGTTATTCCCTTCTGGGAGCGGTTATTTCCTGCCTCCTTTAACCAGAGCTTATATTATATATTTCTAAAGGATTTTTTGTGATAATTTTGATATAATGTCCATAGAAGAAAAAATATAAACACCCTTGATTTTGCCACTCAGTTTGGAAGATAACCATCTTTCTAGAGAGGGATGCAAAGGGGGAGTGTTGATCTTGTTTCACACACAAGTTTGAGAAAATCCACACCACATATACTGCAAAAAGTATTTCATGGAGCCCAAATTTAAGAGAGGAAACTTCAAATCTCACCTCATCTTGCCTTTCTATAAAATTCACACATCACACATCATGTTCATGTTTATGTACAACCCTTTGCCACCCTTTTAAGAGTTATATACATATTTCAGGGCTTTTAGTACTTCCAACCAGTTACTCCTGCTGATAAAAGTGTTATTTAATCTTTTTTCATTCAGATTGAAGGCCTAGATGACTTAGAAAATGAAATTGATGAAGCTATTCCTAAACTAGAAAAGAAATGGAAAAGAAATTTGCTTCACACAGTAGCTTTCTATTAGATATTGAGTATTTGTACAAACAGTGATATTTTATTCAGTCTATAATATAAGTGTAAATAGCTTTAAACAATTTTGTATTTAATTGAGTAATATCATTGTGAAGCTATAGACAAACAAATGGTTTGCTTCCAAGCCAGCTCTCCAGAAGGTTGTCATTTAACTTAGATGAATTTAGAAGCAGAGACAGACATTTAATTTAAGGCTGGTGAAAGAAGTGTTGATCAAACAGCATTAGTTTCATTAGCAAAATAAACAGTACAGTGTTTAAATGTGCTTGCAAGACAACCACTTAGGAGTTGGTCATCTGTCTCACCTTTACATGCCTTGCTTAAGTGAAAATATAGTCATTTGTACTATGTTTTGGGAGTTTTTTGATCACCTAGTCACAGAGAAAACAAGTATCTTTAATTAATTTACAAATACTATTTATGCAGCCCACATCTTTCAAACTGGAATCAGTTATTTTTGAATCTGTGTATTTTTAATGTGAAACCACAAACTGAAAAGACAAAAGAAGTTGACAATTTGATATTTTTTTCACGAATTGTTCACTTGATAGACTCAATTGCAATCCTGAAGGTGATCCAGATTGTTAAAATATATATATATACATACAAACGGCTTAAACAACAGTGAACAGTAACAAGTCTCTCTTCAAGGGTGAAGGGAAATGGAATGCAGAAGTTGTTTCAAGGAATAATAATTTTACTGATTTTGTAATTAATAGGTTTTTCCAGCTGTGACGAATCTGCATTCAATCTTGATCTTGAATAGTACAGGGTGCTTTACTTGAAACAGTTAAAATATGATTAGCTATTCATCTCGATTACTATTTCGTGTAAAGGTTTCCATTTTCAGTATTTGTTTTTGTTTTCCTCCTTTGGAAGTGAAGAGCTTTGCTTTACTTTGCGACATATATGTGAAAATTGTGCTAAAAATATGGGTGTACGACTTGATTGCGTTATTACACGGGGATTGAATGGAGAAAATTTATCGTTTACTTCCTAAAACTGTCTCAAGTGTATTTCATCGGCACAATTTTGTGCAATTGCTTTACCACTGTGAGTATTTTTTTTTTACTGTACACCGCTAGAACTGTCTGTAACCTCACACGATAGTTCAGTCAATGATGGATTTATTTATATTGACCTCAAACAAGGAGTGGACTTCAAAGATATAGTTAAATTATTTTCTTGTCGTACAGCTTGTACTTTCATCAGCTAATTATCACTGAAATAAAAAAAAAAAGAATAAAATAATTTTTGATTGCAATTTTGTTCAGTTTGATCATGACGTGTTTCACTCAGACACCAAGAAAAGAAAAGAAAATAGCTCCATTTGAGGAATATTTTCTACGATATCCGCCTCATTTAATCAGTTTTGAGGTTAATTCTTCAATTTTTCATTTAGCATTCTTCACTACCGTTTCGTGCTTGGCTGATTAATCACAGATGTTCCAGGCGTCATCACTTACTGCGCACTCACTTCAGTCTAATGATGCATACACACTTTGTGACGTCAGTGACGCTCTATTCGTTCTGATTATCGCGTTAGTAATGTGCAGAGAATGTGCAGTCTTTGATATGTGTTGGATGGTTGCGTCATTCTCTGTTCATGTTTGGCTTTCACGTTAATGATGCGCGTTCTCTTTCTTCTTTATTATTTAGCTAATGGACGCGCTCTCTTCGATTTTTGTTTGATTGTTACTTTCCAGAGGCGCGTCCTCGTTGTTTTTTATTCGACTGTAGAGGGGGCACAAACGTTTTTGACAAGCGGCTAACAGCCGGTCAGTTCCGCTGTACTTCAAATATTGAAACGATGACTTTCTAGTTGATCCACCCGCGTCAGAGCGCTCTAGAATAAGTTCAGTTCCTCTTCCGATTGCCGTCCACGTATCTAAAACGTCTCCTGTTATGTTAGGGATGCGCGCTTTGTAATGTGCGCTTCTTTTGTTTGTGTCTGATTATAGGTTAGTAGTGATGTGCGCTTTGCTCGTTTTATTCTTGGGTTTGTGGTGAGCTTCCTCTAAGTTTTAAAATTGAATGTTACGTCAGTTACGCGCACTGAATTAGTTCGTTTCTGATTGTTACGTCAGTGATGTGCGCGATCTGTGTTTTTTACTGTTGCGTCAATAATGCGCGCTCTCTTCGTTTGCTTGTTAAACCGCTACGTCAGTGATACGCGCTCCCTTTGCTCTTGTTGACTGTTACGTTAGTGATGCGCGCGCTCTTTCTTGTTGCATTATTACTGCCTTTCTCGTTTTTGTCTGCCACATCAGTGATTCGCACTGTCTTTGTCGTTGTTTTTTCTTTTTTGGTTTGTTTCTTTTATTATCGTTACGCAAGTAACCTTTGCCAATCAAACACTTGCCCTCTTTGGCAAGTGTTTGATTGGCTTTATGATTCAGATTCCAATCAAACACTTGCCCCCTTTGGCAAGTGCATAGAGTCACTTTGAAAGTTTTCAGGTATCTACTTTCTCATGGTTGAGCTGTTCCTACCTGTACTGTCTCCAATCCTGCACATAGTAAAGGAAATTTTCCTCCATCACAATCAAGAACAAATCGCTACAAGATATGACGGCTTTGATGTTCCGCTTGGAGATACAGTTGTTATTCGTATGGTATTTCACTTTGTGTGACAGCAACTACAAGAGAACTTTTCTCTTAGTATGGTGAAAATGGCAATAACTTATTTTCTCAAATGCTCAGGTGGAACATATCACGTCAGTGATGCTTTGTGTTAAGTGACTGACTTAAACATTTTTTTTAACTTTGGAATTACCCTAGAAAAAAGATTAAAAAAAAAACAACAACAAATAACCGAAAAAAATATGATCTCGTTTTTACTTCAATTTCAAAAGTTTTTTATTTTTCATGTTCTAAAATAGCTTTCATATTTTTTGTTTAATGAGGAAAACGATATGTAACGACTCAGTTTGAAACAGTATGAAAACTGGTGAAAACGTGTCACATTACAAACTTTACTCAACCAATAAGTCAACAAACATACCTTTTGTTTTTTCAATAATCCGTCAGGTATACTTTATCAGTAATAATTAGAACAATATCTTTCATATCATTTCTGCGAGAAAGACTTAACTTAACCCATCATTTGCTGATGACATCAATAATATCATTCATTTACTTACAGTTTCTCAGAAATTATTATGTACAACATAACAGCATGACAATGATGTAATTATTGTAAAATTCAGAAAACCATAAATATTTTGATTTGATTCTGTGTGCTGACCAAAATTAAGCTCAACACTTGTAAGCAAACCTCAAAACCACAAAATAATAACCACAATCTGAAGGTCTGAGGTTAAATTCCTCATGGGGACTCAGAATTTGTTCTGTGTCTCACGCTTGTGACAAGACAAAATAACATCTTTCTTTATTTCTTTACCGAGCTTGCCATCTCTCTTATTCTATTTAAAAAATAATATTGTAACTGTCTGCTATTTGGTAGAGACACCAAGTGTCAACAGTTAAAGTGCTGGACTCTAGCTCCAGAGGTCTGAGTGCAGACATGGCAAGACACTTTATTGTCACACTGCCTCTCCCCAACTGGGAGCATAAAAGGCAACTGTCAAATTGTCTGAGAAGCCTGATCAAATGCTGGGGAACTTTGTGGTGGATAGCAGCCACCCAGAGGGGGTAGTAATACTAGTTGATTAATGCTGCAGAAACTGGAATGAATTACAGCTGACAGGGCTACTTGACAAGGGTGCAGACTTCACCTACTGTCTGCCATTTAGTTTTCTGACACCTAATTAGCTATTCCTTTGAAAAACAAAAACATTCCATCATTATTTCCAGTCTTTACAGTCTCTGGAATTTTATATTAATTAATATTTGATTTGACTTGATTTGATAATATTACCATGTCAAATATTTTTCTTTGCGCTAACCTAGAACAAAGGTTACCTCACAAAAATGTATAACTATATGATGCTCAGATAACAGAATAGGGGTCATTATAATAAGATGCAGACATTTTTTAAATGGTTGTTGAAAGGACTGGCGACTCTGTTTATGTTTCCTCAAGTTAACGATCGTTGTTAAAAATATTTTGAAATCTAAAACACAAAGTCTATAATAATTTGTAATTGTACAGTATGAATAAAAGTTTTTGTTGTTGAAAATACCACTCATTTCAGGATTAAGATCCCAAAGGTTGACCAAAAACCTAACTGTGAGGTATGGCTTCATTTACACAAATCCAACTCTTGCACATTTGGGGTTGCACATTTGTATATTGTTGAGCTAAACCACACAAACTTAAAGATAATTTTCAAAGTTGAGGGTGGAACTTACTCCAAACTAAAGAGGAACTGAGGAAACTGTCCATCTGCAATGTTGGTTCTTTTATTATTTTTTGGATGGTCCTTAAAGCTGAATTGTACCCCAGGACAATGGATGGACTTCACTCCTCCCTTTCCATGCCAAATAATGGGACCAGACATAGCAGCTTTCACATAATACCAAGTGTTCTTTTTCAGAGACACTGGCTTATCAAACAGAACATCAAAGGCATAAAAACTACCTTCTTCTTCCTCTAATTCCATGGGTATAGAAGAATATTTTCCTATCTTAGTGGCCTTAAACAAACCATTAGATGCTTTTCTAACTGTTACTGTAGCCTGGTATTTGCGATTTTCACTTCCAAACAAACAAATTCCATACAAGACAATGTCCCTGTTTACTGAAAAATAAAGATAGTCACTGTGGTAAGAACCGTACATTAACCCAGTTTCAAGAACAACAGATTTAAATCGACAACATCTCTGGCGTAGGCCAGTTCTTGGAGCTTTTGAGAAATAGTTTGGTGGGCTAAAAATTGGGGTGTTGAAGTAATCCTCCATGATGATGGCCTCATGTGAAGTTAATATGTTGCAATCAAGAACAGAATTACTGAATTCATTCCGTTTCATGACTGGAAAACGTATTGCGTTCACAACCTTGTCCCCGAGAACCAACCTTTTGGATGCACCATTGGCTGCCATATCAAGACGTTTACATTCTTCTACTGCCCAAGTATCGACTGCTCTGAATAAGTCTACCTCTTTGATGTTTAGAGAATCTCTCTTGACAAGGTCTTCCAACAGGGATCTATCTATCGTTTCAAATCCTTCTGTTTTCACGGCTTCTTCAGCCTCCTTGTCGATAACTTTCCAGCAGTGACTCACAAGCTTTTTCTCTCCGTAATTTAGGGCGTGAGACAAGACGCAAAATACATTAGAAACATTCAGGACTTCGAGCAGATATTCAGTGCATCTCTCAACAAGTGAGGGCAAGATGTACTTCTTAGCCAAATACAGCACTTGCATGACGTTGTCAGGAGTAAGCCTCGCTTCATCGCAATACACAAAGCGAAACAGTTCTAACAGACTCTCGTACTCACAATCAGGAAGCCTGATAGAATCTGACTTCTCGGCAAGGTCACCATAGAACATGGCAAAAAACACAGGGCTGCTTATCGCGAGGACGAACTTGTGTGCTGAAATAGCCTTCCAGCATTTCTTGCTGCTAATTTCATCGAGTTGCACCGGAACGACGAAACTAACATCGCTGAGGAGCTCGTTGTTAAACATAAATTTGCTTCTTGATCTAATAGTCGGTCGTTCTGTTTGCCAGGCTTCTTTCTGAGCGGACATAGTTGCAATGAAATAGTTCGAGCTTACGTACTGTTTTGCCAAAACGGCGCGAATCGATCGAGAGTGAGCTGCAGATTACCACCAGGCGTTTTGAAATATCAGAGGGAGACTAAAAACAAGTACTTCACTACTTAGTGCTCAGTCTTCCCCGACCACTTTCTTTTTCCGTGCCAACTCATTCAATATGGCGGGCGGCAAGAAACTCACAAAAGAAGACGAAATTTTGCTGCAAAATTTCAGCAGAACCGTTTCAACTAAATCTTCAGCATTATTCTATGCCAATGCATTCTTCGTCTCAGCCATTCCTCTCTGTAAGCCCTACCAATTCAACATGTACTTCGCTCTTAAATATTATCGCATGCGCTCTTTGTTTGAATCGGAATGTCTCTTAATACGAAAATGTATTTTTAAAGTGATTTTAATCTTATGTTAGGGTTGTTTTGGAGGATTCACCAAATGGATCCTTATTCATCTGGCATCATGTTCGTCGTTATGACTCTCGCCAGTACGTGGCTAGTGGCTTTTGCCTACAAGAACGTGAAGTTTCAGTTGAAACATAAGTAAGTCCGCTGTAATACTATACGATTTGTGTGTATACGTTTCAAATTTTTATTGGTCAGTGGTGAATGAAGGCATGAGTGGGTTGTTGTATTAGTCAAAATATGGATCAAACTCTAGTGATGTTGCGAGTTGCTTTACAAATTTCAAACTAGTTTGGTTTAGATAAATGTTTTATCAAACATGTGTTCATTAATCTAGTAATTTCAAATGAGGTAAGTGCTGCTTAAGAGTAAGGAGAGTATAAGGGGGGGAGGGGGTCCTGCTCATGATTCACATACATCAAAAGTTACAAATGATGTGTTACTAAAACTTGTTTATACAACTGTAAGGTTCATGTATCACGAGAAGCAAAAAATTTACTGTTTTGTATTTTCACTGATCACGAAAATTAAAAAAGCTTTATCCCATATAACGCATCAACCCCCTCCCTCCCCTCATCTCAGAGAAAAGCAAAGTCAATTGTGAGAAGTTTGAGGTAAATCAAATTGTGCACACATTAAGATCATTAAGAAAAGGTTATTCCATTTTCAATAAAGCTACAAGTAAATCCAATAATTGATAGAAGCCCAATGAAGTGCCATAAACTATAGAGATTTTTGTACAGGCCTATCCTTTATTATGCATATAGTATTGGATAAAAGAAGACAACAGCAAAACAATTGATTACCTTAGGGACTCTGGAATTATTTTAGAATAGTATGGGGATATACAAAAATCTTATCAGTTTTGACTGTCACATTCATGTTTTTATTACATTTTGTTTCATTATATCATTACTTTTTAACTAAGATGTCTGCATTTATTTTTTAGGATTGCCCAACGAAGAGATGCCTCAGTTACCAAAGAAGTCAGCATGGAGCTGGATTCTAATAAGAAGCTGACCCGCCAAGAAAAGGATGAAAGGTTTATATTAAATTGATTTAAATATACTTGTATTTTATTCAGTATAATACAGAGTTCACATCATGGGGTTTGTGATTGGCTAAATAGCTTTTTTCCTCTACTTTGTACTAATTTTCATACTCTAAGTGGGAATTAAAAATTAGTCCAAAAATAAATTATTTCAACTACAACACACATACAGTGAAACTTCTATTAAGCAGACCCCCTAATGAATGAGTTGCCCATAAGTGGATCGTTGCATTTGCACAAAGATTTCTGGGACCACCATATGACAAACATTGCTAGAGGGAAATGTTAATCATGAACAATTATTGCACAATTTTTACAAACCTCTATTAAGGGGATACTCTCTATTAGGCAGACACTTGAGAAGGTTCCGAGGATGTCCGCTTAACAGAGGTTTCAGTGTACTTGTTTAAAGAAACTGAAGCTACATTTAATATTTTCCTAGAAAAATATTTTTAATTCAACAATATAAAAGTTTTGAATTTTAGGAAACCAGAACAATGAGGATGGTACCATTAATCAACTGTGTTGTGACATGGGGCTTTTTGTTTTTTTATTTTCATATTGTGTCATTTGTTTAGCTAGCAAAATACAACATTTGACCTTGATTTGTTGATTCAGAAGTCAGTTATGCTCAAAGTGTAGTTTTCAAAGGAGTCTGCATCTCATGCCATTATAAATTGGATTTGTTTTTGTCTTTTCAGAATCCTTTGGAAAAAGAACAAGGTTGCTGAAACTGAAGCCATTACCTTCTCCATATTTTACAACAATGCCTTGTACCTGTTTTTGGTCCTGATAGCTTCATTTTATGTTCTGCGGACATTTAATCCTGCTGCGTATCCTTTATAACTCTTCTTGTAGTTTGGGAGTCATAATCTTTGCATTAAGTTCAAATCCTGGTGTTGTTGTTGAAGACACTTTTTTCCCTTTTTTTTTTGGTTTTGTTTTGCATTACCTAACCCTTAGCTCCCTCATGTTTACCACTCTGGGCCCAATTGTTCAAAGGCCGATCAGCACTAACCCAGGGTTAAATTTTAATTCAGGTTTCTATACTTCTATGTTCAAAAGCCGTTTTAGGGTAATTTTCTCCATTTGTTTTGGGAGCATTCAATCATCAAATTGAAGACAAAAAGAGTTAAGCCAAATTTTCTTTTTAAACTTTCAGATCTTACATCAAAATTTTCACTAACCCTGGGTTATCTTAACCCAGATTTGACCAACCCAGCCCTGTTTTCTTAACATTGTGTATGGCACTGACAAGGAGAACATGTTTGACCATCAGGAGCTCCATAAAATGATGGTCATTTCCTTTATTCTTATGACCTTTACATTTGAATCAAGGGTGATTGTGTTTAGGAGAAATTAGAGACCAGACACTTTTGAGGGTTGAAGGGTGAACTTGATAAATAAGTAGTGGTAAATGGAGTGTAAAATGTTAGCCGTCTGGTGACAAAAGTTCCAGTGACTTCCATCCAATATTACCCTGGGAAGGTAATCAAGTGTTTCCTATGTTCATGTTGCTCATGATTGCAGACTTCAAGAAATTCAAAGTTACCTAAAAGTTGGTAGAAATTAAGAAACCTTATTAGACTGAACTATTATTGACAACCCTGAAAAGGATAAACTTGTCAAACCAGTCTTTGAAAAATCTAGGTTTTTCTATCTGGGAGTTAATAGTAAATGTCAGCTGTACTTCACTTTGCAGCTCACTTTTAAGGTAATTCTTTAACAGTCTTTAAGAAACTACCTACTCTCCACATCCATAGCTGGTGGTGTCCTTGCTCTGCTGTCTACTGGATCATCCTCCTAAGAAACAGATGGATTATTGTGGCTCAGCTGATTTCCATTTATTAATTTGAATAAATGTTTAATTACCAAAGTTATTGTGTGCTTTACTACATTTATTTCCTTGTCATGTTCTCCTTTTCGTCACTTGTGTGAACCAAGCTTCAATAATTCTTTTTATTGATACATTTCATGTTTTATTTTCAAGTAAGTTCTGTACTTGACAAATGTAAGCCATGTGGAAATTCAAAGCAAATTATGCTTTGGTGTAATATGACGAAAATGTGTCATTTTAGGCACAAAAAAGTGTCAGTGATGTGCTTACCACATTTTTATGTCTTAAGTGATTTGGGGCCCATTTCTTAAAGTCCTACTAAACCAATAGCCTGAAGCTATATTTTAGAATCAAAGTTTAAAGAATAGAGAAGTAGGTTCTGGTTCCCTGACTAGTCCATTTTGTTTATTTAGCTGAAAGTTTTATTGTATAATTTTCAAGACTTAAAACCCTTATCTTGAATGAAAACAGAACAGCTTTTTGGGCCCAGTAAGTTACCTGGACATTTGAGAAACTGTCTCCTTTTTCTTACACGGGACAAAATCAAGGAATCTAATTTGCTGTCTACATTAGGAGGCAAAGCTTGCCAATTGTGATGCCATCCAGGTACTGATCCTATTTTTCCAAACAGCAAAGTAGTTCAGCATATTTTATGAGGGGAAGATGCATTAAGACTCTAAAGATGCACCACCTGATTGCTTAACTTTGGGAAAATTTCTCTTCTCATTCTATCATGTCTGTGGCACTTAAGGTAGAGGGAAGCAGGCACCCAAGGTTGTCCTTCATCATTGGTAAATAACATTCTCAGTCATCCATCATCACTGCACCACATTCCTGTGTGTAAATTTCAAGCTATTACTACTTCAAAGAAGAATCCTACAGTATCCTACAGCATTAGATCTCATTTTCCTTGCTCTTTCATTGTATTGTAACAGATTGTATCACAGAACTTGGAGAATTATTTATTTTCAAAGATTTGTCATTTTCATGCTTCCATGACCCTTTAATTTTCCACAAGTGGAGAGCATCAAACTCCTTGCAGAGTTCAAGCAATCTGTACAAGGGAATCAGCATTTCTTACAGACAAGACTCATTTTGAAGGATGCAATAAACTGTTGAGTTTATGAGGGAATTTTTCAGATAGTGCAGATGTACTTGAGTGGTGCTTTGCCAAACAAAAAGACATGGCTAATGCTTTGGTCTTACCATGATTATAATGAATGAACCTCAGGACTTTCCTTGGAAAAATTTAAATTTGAGGAAATGCTTAATCTCCACATAATTAATTTTTGCATTTGTCGGCTGTGAAAAAGAAAATTTCTTTTTCCAAGTACTTTAAATTATGCAAAATTAGCTGTATGGACCCTTAACTGTATATTTAACAATGAGAAACTTATTACTATTATCAATAGCCCCAAGGATCAGTAAGAAGATGATGTTGTTGTTTCACACCTGCCTAATGGCTGGAACATGTTTCACACTTTCTACAGAAAAAAAAATAACCATTTGAAAGTGAGGTTTTGCTGTGATAGTATGGTTGGTATGATTGCCATACTGTTCACATGAAACCGAAAGAAAAGATAAAACTTTAAAAAAATCTTATGAACAGAGATTTAAATTTTCAGCATGTTCAAAAATTCCCCTTTGCTGTGTAATTTTTTTAAAAGTTAATAGTGAAATATACTACTTACAGTCAAAGTAAGATCTGTGACAAATAAAGTTCGTGAGGCATTACTAATCTTAGTAATTGAATAGTTATGTTGGTTTTTCAGGAACATTTTTCCAGAAAAAAGAGAATTAAAGATGGCACTCTTACACGGGAAAGCATAAGAAGGTTGCTGAATTATTCACATACATGGATATCAATATGTATAATGATGGAGGGGGCAATATTATTCAAGAACCTTTTTCCTTAAAAATTGGTTAGCAACCAACAGAAAGTGAATAACCTAAATCTATTGATAAAGGAATTTGGTAATAATCCCATCACATCAAACAAAGCCATGAAAAACAATAACTAATATTTTTTTCCTTAATCTTGGTACCCTAGTATGCACCATTATTCAGTTTGTAAGGGGGGAAAGCTAAAGGAAGGGTAATGTGGCATAGTGTAGGATTCTGTCAATCAATAGATCATTCAGCCAATCACAGAGAGCAAGATTATTATGGGTTATCTAACATTTGCCCAAGTTGAGGAGGTCCGGCTTAGGAGAATTCGTAAATTGATCATCATTGAAAATAAAGTTAGAAGCTTCTTTACTTTCTTCCTTTATTCAAGGAAGAAGTGTGTTGAATTTCTCTGAAACTACTCTTAAGTTCTCCAATTTTTTTAACGACTTATGCGTTCTTTATTGGTTACCATGTGGAAAGGAATGGTGTTCTGTTCCGGGGTACAACAAAATCTCCATGAATAGGAAACTTTAATGTCACGTGAGTGATTGTAAGGAGAAAACATCATTTATCATCTGCTGCAAATCAATTTCTCCCCAAGCTGTCCATTTTTTCTCAACAGATCGAGAATTCCGTCAAAATATCTGTACTTTCTGCACATCAATCGTAAAAATTTCATAATTTTTCTGACAGCACGCGAAGTATTTCGGTCTTTTCGCGACTCCTTGGTGATCAATATTTTATTTTCTCCCAAGGAGACCGACTTTTTAGTAAGAGACAAAGCAGCTGCATTTATCGCGCAGTCGCCATCTTTCAGAGTCCGACTTTTCCTCATGTTTTGCCCCTTGACGTAATTTCTTTGGCTTAATATCCTAAATTTTCTTCCTAAATGTGAAGACTGAAAATGTCCTCGGCAAACAGCAGAAAGAAAGAGTTACAATCATCAGCCGAAGGCTCCAACGGTAGGTACCGTAAATTTCCGTGATTTGCATGTGTTGCGTGAATACCATTTGAAGAGAAATTGTCATTTTTGTTGCGTTTCTTTCTTAAGTTAGATTTTTTAAGGCGTTTAATTGGACAGGAAAGTCTATTTTTTTTCTACCTTTAACATGAAGTGAAATATATAAGAGAGAATGGCTATGTTTCCAGTGTGATGATGTTTTGTTTTGAGAATTGGCGCGTTCATCTCTAGTTTACTGATGAGAGTACATGACACATGTTTTGTGACGATAAGATTAGTCGCCTTTCGTTCATCTTAGAGCAGTTTTACAAGAGCAACTTCGTACAATACCTATCTTCTCAAAATTGAAGAGTTGTAGCTTTATGTTCGCTGCGAAGTGCTTTTTTCTTTAACTTCGTATCGTAAATTTAAAAGTTCGCGGTATTCGAGATCTGGAGCTCGCCGGGACTTGAAAACCGTGCGGGATTTGGGAAAGAACGGCTATTCCTTACGCTTTAAAAACCTTGAATCGACATAAACCCCTTTGCGTGTTGAAAAAAACTTCAAGTAAATATTGTTTATTTGAAAAAAGGTGGTTTTCTACTCCGACAGTCCACGCGTTCACCGCTGTTAAACTGATTTTGTTGATAATCGCCTAATGTTGTTCATTCGGCAAAATTAGAATGTTAAGGTTCTATCAAGGCACTCCTTTAAAGGGAGTATTTCTCTTAAATGAGAGGTTTGAGGTTTATTTTTTAGAGGATTTATTTTCTGGATATATAACACCCTTCAATGTGACGATGGTAGTTCTTTTTTTATTATTATTATTTTTTTTTTTACTGTAAGGGTTGGAGGGATTCTTTTTTTACCTCCTAAATTTATGAAGTTGATTTAAGTTTATGATGAAAACGGGGATCGTTGTAGGACAACTTTGAAGTGATTGTGTGGATTATAAGGATATTGCCTACAAATAATCTGGACAGATGTGCCCATCATAAAAAAAATTTGTTTAAGATTCCTCAGGACATTTTGTAACCAAAAGACAGTCAAATCATGAATGTTGTGTCCAATTTTTGCTGCATGTGCAGCATGCATGTGCAGCATGCATGTAGCACAGGCAACAAATACTGCAGCAGTAATCATACCATGCTATTCAGCCATAGTTTAGCACAGAGGTTCTCAGTGCAGAACTGGTGTGGAACCCTGGTCTATTTGTAGAACAGCAGCATGTAGCCATTAGTTAAAAAAATGCATTCTTAGCCATTAAAAAAGTAATTAACCCTTTTATCTTAAAAGTGATTTTTGTGAACAGTGTCAAGAAGGGATAAAGTAGTTACTTTCTTTAGAGAAAACACCCATATAGAGATAGAGAGGTCTATTGTTTGTCTAAAACTTTGGTTAAGTCAGAATTTATTTCAGTAACCAATCCATTGCGTGTTTGGTTTGTAGAAGGTTTGGAAAGGCAGTCCTTGACTTGATTTGTGGATAGTAATGTAGATGTACACAATATTTTTTTTTACATCCTAATTTTACACCAGGGCTACAGAAAAAATTTGAAATCCAGCTTGCCTATTTGGGACAATGCCAAACAGTTGGAGTACATCTTTTTTCCAGTGATTAATTTAAAAGGCTTGGTGATGTTTTCTACATGCCATTTGTCAAATGCACTGTAATATTGGTCAACTAATTTTCATTTGACAAGTTGTAATGACCAAGATCTCCTGATATCACAGTACATAGAACAGAAGATAGTTTTACATTATTACAGAAGTTGCTTTCTAGGCCTACTTACTTACTGTAAGAGCCTGATAGAAAGGTGGAATCAGCAAATAAGGCTTTATACTCATTTTACCATTACCGTATTTATTCAACTATAAGCCAAGCAATTTTTTGGATCACGTTAATTCATCTGAGTTATGATTCGTTGTTTTTCAATTGAATAGTTAGCTTTTTTGTCCTTTGCATATAGTTAACAATTCAGTCTTGTAATAATGAATAGGTCTTGGCTTATAGCAGGGTGTTTTTTATTTATTTTTGGTTCTTGTTATGCCAAGTCTACACGTACAAAGTTTGGGGTCTCAGCTTATAGCCGAATAAATATGGTAATAACTTATCTTAGTTTTAGTTTTATTAAAGCAACAAGAAGAGTACTGACATGGAAACCAGACGAAGCTCTTTCACTGTGGGCCATGGGTGCTAA